TAATCCTATGCGGACTAGAGACGTGGCATCAGCCTCTACACTTTTGTTCCCAGTGATGATTTAGGATGACAGGTTCCACTGAATATCCTGCTACTAATTTATTAGGCCTGTGCCTAATAAATTAAGGATTAGAAATGATATATAAGCACTTAGCACACTTAATGTAAGGAAGACTCTAGCCCCAAGAGCTGTATATATTCAAGACCAAAACTGTGAAAAATTTTCCTTGGTTTATACTTCTAAGCTCCATCCTCATTTCACACTCCACACTGGACCTGGCATGGAAAATTCTCTGGAATCTGGACAGAATCTACTAGAATTCTCTAACAAAATCATTGCTGGGAAGATAGCCTAAAAATAGAACTTGCATTATATAGTCAGCAAAATATAGGGTGTTCTGCTAAGTATTTCAAACATAGTGTCTTATGTCCATCTGTGATAATCTCTGGGCCTTTGCACCTGGAGCTGAGCCTTTTGAATTTGGCAAATCTAGAACATAAACCTAACATATAGATGGTCCAACATAAACTGGGCTCTTTTTAAATGCCTAGAAGATCTGAGAATTAAGATGGACTCTCTTAATAAAATTATGTTTGTTGCTCTAAAGGTATTAGTTTCTGCTAAAGACAATATCGAGGTACCTATAAAATCGTCTGGAAAATCTTAGGTAACAATGAATTAAATTTAAAGTTGCTCCTAGAGACAAGCTGATGTTAGTAGAAATGGATACTCAATTTAACCTTCCAAAAATAATGCCTAAGATTTATCAGTTGGGAGATTCTCACCAAATACTTGTGTTGGGTTCCTACTGTTGGAACAGTCAGCTATGTTAGCCCCCATCAATTACAGCTCTTAAAACAGGCACACAATTTTTAAGCCTTTTAGTTTTACATAGCAAGCAATTTCCATTATATGTAGTACCTCGCTATACAAAAAATATGGTTATGTACAGGTTAAATCACATTCACCTTGTATACAGTGTTAAGTATGGTAATTTCTACTTCTGTAACACAGATTGCCCTGGAGATGGTTATACTCACTCAACAGATATATTTACAGAGAACCCACTGAGTACGAGCCATACATCAGATATCATGATCTGTGTTCTTCACATCACTATTCTTCTTATTTTTATATAAATGCTTTGAATAAAACATTACACATAGGGTCTCTTTAGCAAATACAAGTTGAACCAATTAATTTGACTTTAAGATTTCCTCTTCATAACAGCAATCTTGTTATTATTGCTCTTCTAAACTATACTTTTGCCTCATTAGCTGTAAAGTTCTACTGCTAAAACCTTTTGCCTAGTCCTGAAATCGCACAAAAATGGGCAAGTTTTACAGGACAAAAGAGGAACAGAAACAAGGAAGTGTGTGATAATGATTCTAGAGTGACAGTCATGCTTCTTCACATAACACTCCTCTTTGAAAAGAAAAAGACTCATGATTTACAAAGAGGGCATTTCAGTTGCTAGATCATCACCTATCCAACAGGAACATAAATGATAAACGGAAGATTATATTTCCTTTGGAAACCTTAACTGGCAGAAATTCTACCTTTGCAGGGGACAAGCCAAAAGAGGAGAAGCCACTGCAGTCTCCATAAATACACATTTTAACCAAAAGGGAGGGGTAGAGGAGAAGGAGAACACAGTTTCTCAGAACTACTGTGTCCAGATTTCAAGGAGAAATTTTATTCCCTTACAATCTAACCTGCAATTAGCTAGCAAAAGGGGCAGAAGACATTAACTTAGACATTAATAAAGTAGTCAATTAATAACACCCTGTAAACATATACCTTCACTTTCCACCAAAGACAATGATGAATAGTAGGATGGAAAACTACAGAACACAGTAGATTCCTGATATACTATTAGATAAATGCAGTGTGGCAGAGAGTGATGCGGTTAATGTATCAGACACATCCAAACATAGTCCCTACTGTCTCCTTCAAAGGAGTTACCTTGGAAGGACAAATCGAATACTATCAAAATTTCTTAGAATTCCTACGTTACAAAGACCTTCAGAGCCTGTGAAAATTACATTTGAATGTTAAGTTTACCTACATTCAGTAAGGTTCCATGCACTCTTAACATCTGATTGTTAAGTTTACCTACATTCAGTCATGTTCCAGTCAGTGCTGGCCCATAAGAAGCTTACAGTCTAGAGAAGGGCACCGATGTGTGTGTAGACAATTTCATTACCCTATCAGCCCTTCCCTGGTTCCATTTATAGTCTCTAATTATTTGTACATACTTGTCTTCTTCCACTAGGCAGTTAAATATTCTGAAAGCAGAAACCATGCCAATTATCTCTGCATCACTGTCACATGCCCTAGCAGAGTAATCTGCACAGAGTGAGCATTTAACAAATGTGGGTTTAGGGAGAAAATGTCTAACTACTTAATAATCACAACTGTACTCAGCAAAATTCACCATGAGACAGGCTTGTCTCGAAATGCATCCAAGGGTATTTGGGCATTGCAGTACCTGAACAGCTTCTCCTAAGCCGGCCTTAAGGTCAGCATTACTCTGAAGCGTGGGTTCTGAGGCATAAGAGCAACAGCAGAAGGCCAAGGCAAGTAAAACATTTACATTTCTATTGATTACATGGGAGAGAAATATCTCCTTCAAGAACTGATCCAGTCTACCAGCTAACCAAACTACTGTCTTGCCCCATCAGGTAATTGTAAGGCCATTATTGGAAGTCCAGATGGTAATCAGCATGTTCATTCCTACTGAGTTCATTATGATGGTTACCCAATAGTAGAGCACCTAGAAAGATGCTACTTGTCATTAACCCAGGCAATCCTGGACAGAGCACTTAGCTTACTGAATTTAAAGAGCAAGCATCCTTATTCCCAGTAATGACAAAAAAGAAACATACCGAGCATAAAGAACAGGTTTGGACATGGTTGGCTGATTAGACCGTGGAGCACAGGCAGGAAAGAAAATAAAGTTTCTGACTGCTTAACAGTCACGCATGAAAGACAATCTGTATGTCAATTTGCTATGATGCTTTGGAAATAATAACTTGGAAAATATAAGTATATTAAAAGTTGTAAAAGATGGTACAGGAAACTAGTGACTGGTAAGAATGAAATTCAGAGCAGGTAACAACATTTAAGTGGGAAAGGAAAAATGAAATTATCTCTGACAAATAAAAAAGGGAAGAAACTGTCCCTAAGTCGAGGTTGCTGTGCTCCCCTGAGGGGAAGAGGCAAGTTGCCCCGGGGTGCCCTTCCTAGTAAGCGCCTTCATTTCAAGACTCCACTGTACCTGGTTCCAGGAAGCAATGAAGGATGGACATAAGAAGAAGATGCAAATTCACATAGTCAACGCTCTACAGTCTAGAACAGCGCTGCCCAATAAGGCAGCCACGAGCCACATGTGACTGCGTTTAAATCAACCAAAATTAGTCAAAATTTAAAAATCACCTTTTCAGTTGTAATAGCCATAGTTCAAGTGCTCCTAGCCACATGTGGCTAGTGGTTTTCGTGTTAAACAATGCTACATAGAAGATTTCCATCACTGTTTTATTGATGGACAGAGCTAGACTTGAAAGTGAACACTGCTACTGCCAAGGGGCCAAATGGTTTGCTATTCGCAATTCAAAGTACTGTGTTTTCATCAAGAGCGCACTCTGGTTCAACTAATTCCTGCACAAATAAAACAATCAGCTAAGTCACCTTCCATTCATAGCATATTAGATTCCTGAGGTCATCTGGTCCTCGGAGAGTAGCTGTATCTGATGGCAAAGCAAAAATCAACTACGGTACTAAGATTTCTACTTATTAAAACTTCCCTGTATACCTTCTTTTTAAAGTGAAGCAAAAATATACTTTTGGATTTAAAGTAGATAGCTTCAATTATACTTAATGAAAGAAAACCAAGATTCTGTCAAGGACCAGGAAAAAGAAAGCTAGTAGTCTTCAGATGCTGGATTCTATTTAAACCTCATTCTACCATTGCTTAAATATTTACTTGCTACTTTGCCATGCTACTGCTTTGTACCACACAGAGGAAAATTTGGTATGAGTGACAGAAAAATCTGGATGCAAGCTAAATTTAATCAGCACATAGAAACAACCAAGCATATAACCTATTCACTTAAGAGGACAGCTTATATATTTTTGGGGAAGGGGGCTGCAAGAATCAGGATACTGGAAAACTTAAAATGCAAGACTTGGAGCCCTTCTTCAAAAATGCATGATATTGCCACCTCTGATAAGTACAGCCCTGGTGGTTCAGAGCCTGGGTGGGAATGAGACAAAGCTAAAGATGATGCAGCACCCGGGACTTGAGAAGCCAGGCAAGCTGCTGCTCCATTTCATCATTATGAAAAACAAAAAAACAACAAACAAATAAACAAAAACAGTACAAGCAGCAGAGCTCTCCATTCTGTTCAGTAGCAGAGTTATCATCAGAAGTGATAAAGGCTCCTGGTCCCCTCCCTGGTCCCTGGCTTTGCCCCCTACAGTCCCACCCCTGGTTGGTTTTCCTCCTCTTCAGGCTCTTGGCATTTCAGACTAGAAAAGGAACATCTTGACCCTCCGCCCATGGAAAGGCTGCAGTCCTAGGTCACTTGATCTAACTCACCCCTTTCAAGGAGAAACTCACTTCATTAAACAGAATCACTAGATGCACCTAAGGAAGGTGGGGAGAGGTTCACTTCAACCTTGGTAACTCGTATCTCCTCCTGAGGCGGACAGAGTCACCGGTAACTATTTAAGTGAGCATGTGAAAATTAAAGCTCTTTAGGCCAAGAAAGTAGCTTCGGTCAAAAAGGCAGCTGATCTGAAACCCACCAAATATGCAAAATCCCTTCCCTGTTTCATGCATACACAGCCCTCGAGTGCGTAAACACCACCATCAAACTGTGCTGGGAGGTCAGGAGCACTCCACACAGCATGCACCACGATCCGAGTTTGTAAAATGTGCTACAGGCAGCGTGGGAAATGGGCTGGCTCCGACCAAAGGGTAGAGAGCTAGTGCATACCTTTCGGTCTTCTGGAATTTCCATTCTTTTGCTGTTCATCTTCCTCATTAATGGTGAATAAACCAAGGGGAACTGGCCTTGCATTGGTCTTCTTCAGTCTCTCTTGCCGGAGAACTGTAGCTGATCCAGGCATACCGCTGCTACTTGCTTTTTAATTATTATTATATTAAATATATATGCTTATGTAATTGCAGCTCCCAGGAAGCTGCTAGTTTCTAAGCTGCCTGTTCATTTGAGCACTTGTAATGGATCCCCGATGGGTAAACAGTGTGCAGACAGCTGACAGATACTACCAGCCACTTGGCAACTAAGGCCCTGCGGTTCCCCCTCACCTAGCAGC